AATGCAAAACGACAGAAAGATAGATTAATTTTAACCCGGGAAAAGTTGATAGGGAATATAGGTACTAGGTAGTAGGTATCAACTTACTACTAGTCTATATAATAAGAATCTAACTTGATTTTGGGGACGAAGGAAACCGGTTTTGAGAGTCTATTACCTAAGCGCTTCCTCTCATAATAATAATAATAATTATATGTATAATTAGATTACCCAATTACCAATTAAAAAATATATTCACCAATAACGATATCTGTTTCTTTTTTTTTCTTTTTTTTGTTTACTTTATAATTGACCTATAATAATGTTTCTAATACGCAAGCGCATTCCTTTATTTATTCGATCGATGAGATCGACATCTCCAACTCCAAACCTTCAGTCGATTGTTGTACAGCGTTACTAACAGATCTAATTTTTTTTTCAAGTGTGATTTAAATATATTATTAATTCAATAATAATAATAATATTCATTATTATGAGTAATAAAAGGTGCATCGTTTTCCATTGTGAAAATCGTTCAAATTGCATTCAGGCAATTTCATCGTATGCAATTCCAAATGGAGGAGAGAGGTATTTAATAACAGCTAATACTTAATAATTGTAATTAATAATTCTATAATGTGTACCCACCTAATGATTTAAATACTTATAGGTTAATACAATGGCTTAATAGTTGCAACAGGACCGATTTATTGGAACGCGAAAACAATATTCGTACGAATAATAAAAACTTTAGAGTGTGCAATTGTCACTTTGAAACCAATATGTTTTTTACTATACAGCGTAAGAGGTTAAGACCAAATGCTGAACCCACATTATTTGGTATGTGGTATATATACATTATTAAATAATATATCTGTTTATTATATTTCGCCTATGTTTCACTACTATTTTTTATTATAAATGCATATACTTTATAGGTGTTATACCGTTCAAGTGGGTTAAATTCCGGTCTGCCTATTTATACCAACCTAAGCATCCATATTATGACGACGATGATGTTTGTATCGGTGTAATGGATTTAATTTGTCAATATTGCAATGCAATGAAATTCAAAGGTAGTTTATTAGTGTATACATTTTTAGAATTTCGAAAACATTTTATATTATTTTCTTAATTAAAGGAGAATCTGCTGGTATGTGTTGTTCAAATGGAACTGTTCGTATTCCCAATATCGATGAACCACCAGAACCAATGAAAACTCTTTTGGAAAGTTCAACAAATATTTCAAAACACTTTTTAGAAAATATTACTAAATATAACAATGCATTTCATATGACGTCATTTGGAGCAGCAGAAACTATTGTGGAAAATTATATGCCTACATTTAAAATAAGAGGTCAAGTATATCATTTAGCCGGATCGTTGATGCCTTTACCAAATACAAATCATAAATATTTACAAGTTTATTTTATGGATGACGAAGAGGAACAAATTGATGCTCGAATGGGTATTTGCAGTGGATTGAATAAAGGTAATTGTATATTGTATATATTTGTTGTTTAAAACGTTTTAATTTATTTATTTATACATTTAGATATTATAAGAGATTTGCAATTATTGTTACATAATATCAATCCTTTAATTACGAAGTTCAAAATTGCATTGGATCATATGCCCACTGATCAATACTGAATAGTCATAAATGCAAATATGGTTCCTCAAGGTCAACATAGAGGTAGATTTAATGCATCATCTCAAGTAGAAATGGCAGTAGTAATGATTGGAGAAGAATATGGAAATCGCGATATAATTTTATCTAGAAAAGACGAAAAGTTACAACGAATAAGTGAAACTCATAGGTAAATTCCTTTTAAAGTGTATACACCGTACATTTTTTCTTAATTTTTATTTATGTGTTTTTTGGTCTTATGATTCTCTAGAATATCCACTGATATTTCTACACGGTGAAGATGGTTATGCTATTGATATTTTGTCATTTAATGTTAATTTAAATGAATACAATAGTCATAAAACTGTTTCTTCAAAACAGTTTTATGCTAATAGACTGATGGTGAGGCACCTAATCATATCTACAATCATTTACATAATTATAGAAAACTTATTAATAAATATTGGGTAAGTAAACAATATTTTTTCAACTTAATCAAAAACGTCATGTATAAACATTATAATAATACAAAAAGAATGTAATTTTTTTTAAAGGTTGATATGTATCCCAAAATAGAATCAGAACGGCTTTTATTTATACGGAATAATCAATCAAAATTAATAATTATATTCATTTACATGATGCTATAGAAAATGATGGTGACGTGAATGACTTGGACAACTTTTTATTTTACCTTCTTCATTTACAGGAGGTCTAAGGTAATAAAATGTTTTGTATTTTATAACTTAAAATTGCTACGAAAAATGTACTGTAATATTCATTTTAACAATCTAAAATATTGTACATACTATTAATTATTAAATACATGCACGAAAAAACTATGGATGCCATGACTTACGTTCGTAATTTTAGGACTCCAAATTTGTTCATTACATTTACATGTAATCCAAATTGGATGGAAATAAAAAGAGAACTCAAACATGGTCAAACTACACAAGACAGACACGACATTATCGCTAGAGTTTTTCATCAAAAAATTAAAGTTCTAATGAACTTAATTGTGAAACATCGGATATTTGGTGAAACTCAGTGTTATATGTATACTGTTGAGTGGCAAAAATGTGGTAATAAATGAATAGTATTATTTATTTATTTATTTAAGGTCTTCCTCATGTTCATTTACTGGTATGGTTAGTTGATAAAATTTGACCAAATGATGTCGATGATATTATAATAAGTGCTGAATTCAGAATTACCAAACCCCGATATAGATCCTGAACTATTTGAAATAGTTAAAAAAACACATGGTGCATGGCCCATGTGGTTATATGAATCCAAATTCTCCATGTATGGGAGAAAACCAAAAATGTTCAAAGAGGTAATAATACATTTTAATATTCAATATACATATTTAAATCTATTTCATATTAATATAACTATTATAAATTTATATAAATATTTAGTATATTTATAAAATTTCATCATTTGTACTTATATTTTGTATTTGTTTAAGTGTAGGTATTTAGTTATTTTTTAGTGCAAAAGCGCATACGTATGTATTTATTAAACTATTTTAGCAATAATGCAGTTTAAACTTTAAACTTCCTCATATACCTATACTATGCAATTTTTTTAATTATTGTCTTTTTTTTAAATAATAACGATGGTAAAGTTAAATTTTATTGATAGGACTTTCCGTGTAAGTTATGAGTAAAAACTTAATTTTCAAGTTATAAGGTAGATATATTCAAGTGCCATATGTAGTTACCTACTTAAGGTGGTTTTGCGTAATAAATCGTAATTAGTTTAAGATTAACATTATTTTGCATTTTTATTCTACACATAGGTATGCTAAGAAAAGCATATTTAATAAAAAAATTTCATTTGTTCTATTAGGTATCCGAAAGCATTTACTAACATGTTAGTACATGCAGTACTATTACTGAAGATGATGGATATCCTTTATACAGACGAAGGGATTTTGGAAGTGGTGGATTTAAATCAACTGTATTACGAAATTCAACATTGGTAGAAATTGATAACAGATTTATTGTTCCATACAATCCATTACCATTGAAAACATTTAATGCTCATATTAATGTTGAATGCTGTCATTCAGTAAAATCAATTAAATACATTTGTAAATATATTAATAAAGGGTCTGATCAAGCCTTAAGAATTTTTCAACAATCTTACTAGAATTTTATGAATTGAAATATGAATATGAAAAATTCAGTAATTTTAATTGAAACTTTGACTGGTTGCCATTTAGTCAGTTTTGATTTTAGAGCTATGGTAAAAAGGACCAAATCGACTTAAAAAAATTCGGTCTATCCGAATTTGGTATTCAAAATACCTGTAGCCATTTAAAAAAATGCAAGTTGTATTGCGCATGCGCACATGGAAAGATCTAAAAATGTAAAAATCATCAAGAAATGTGTATTTATGTATTCCCTATCCCCTCCCGAAAACCGCATATTAATCCGATGTCACTGGACAGAATTATTTAGTGTTACCTTTAAAAGGAATCACACTGTATTTGTTATTGTTATTATGATTATTAACTATTTATTGATTTGTTTGCACTTGCATTTTTCCATTTGAAATATATATATTATACATTGAACAAATAATTTATTGTTACATTTTTCCTACCTTATCTCTATTCTATAATAAAAAGAATAAAATTTACCACTCCAGTGGTTGAATTCTAAATGTAGGAAATATAATTTTCAGAAATTACTAATAATAATAACTACAATATGAAATTATATTATATTGTTTGTATAGCCAAAAAATAGTCATGTTTTTAAATTAAATTTTAAAAAAATAATTCCTTCCGGAGGAAGATCGGGCAGCTAGTTGTATTATAAAATTAGTAAATTATTTTGTATACCTATAAGTACCACTGAATTATGATTAATATTATAAATTTTCTATTCACGCCAATCACACAAATAACACAAAAATATCACAATATTACATTTTCTAAATAAATTAGGTATGTTACATAATATACGTAATATTAATTATTATATACCTACCATTTTTTTCAAGTGTAGTATCTCAACTGAAGTGGGAACGACGATAGTGTTACATCCTATACTCAGTTCAATTGTACAATCATAGCAAAAAAAAATTTACAAAATCATCCAACAAATACATAATATACCTACATAATACATGCGTCGTGCTGTGGTAGCCAGAGCCTACATAATTTACATATGATATCAATATATTATTATGCATATATACATCATATATAATGGTAGTTGCGTAGTGAAGCTCACCGTAGAAACGGCGTCAATAACTACAACAGATAAGTAATACCAACATTATAGACTGCGCTAATCGACAATGACAGGCGATTAGTGGCGATAACGCCGCGTGCACCGTCTGTCTGTGTATAAACTTTTTACACACAACTGCGATGGACAGCTGTTGTAAGGGAATCTATGGCCTGGCAGCTAGTTTAGAATTGAAGTACGTGCTGGTGGTGCCGACGGAACAGGCGACAATGTTGCATGGTGAATTGTTGAGGCGGGGCGTGCCTGAACGACTGATCTACGAGGTGGACCCAAACAGGAGGCCGCGGCCTCAGAAGTCGACGAACTGTGGGCCTGCCGCCGAAGCAAGCAGCAGCGGTGGTCGTACGCACGGCCAGGAGAAACGGTTTATGCCCGGTTCCATCAGACTAGGCACGTACGCCGCCGGCGGCCAACAGTACAACGTGGGCCTACGCTGGGGATCTGTGTGGATATCGATGGTCGATCGGGCGCCGGGGGCAGATGGTGGAGGGGCCTCGGAGGTTACGGTGGCCGACGGCGGAGGGGCCTCGGAGGTCTCCCCGGTGGCGGGCAGTAGTCGATCCGTGGAAGGCCCACCAGTGGTGGACCACGGTATGGCCGCCGTGCCGGTCCCGAAGGAGAACAGTTGTATGACCATGAACATGCCGATGGAGAGCGACGGCGGTCGGGAGACCGATGATGACAATATTACGGTCTTAGGCGGTGACTGCGAGAACGGCAATGACGAACGGAATCTCGGTAACGGCGGTCGGCATTGTAACAGCTCGAGCATGTTGTGCGAAGATTGCAAACAATGGTTGCTCAAAGAGTATTTCGGCGACCGATTGCAGGACGAAGCCTCAGACCTTACCGGTCAGCACGCGTGCATTTACAGACGGATCGTTGACCGTTTATTCGTGGTAACGGTTACCGAAAGTGGCGGTGCCGGCGATGACGAGGACGATGACGAGGCCGATGACGAGGACGCGGCGGCTTGTTGCGGAACTACGACTGCGGATGATGGAGTCGTTGAACGGATATCAACTCCGACCAGCCGCACTGAACGAGAGCAGCCCTTCGCTGGTCCAACTACACCCTCACAGCCTGCACCGCCGATGGAACACTCGACGACGCCGTCAGTTCCGGAATCGCCAGGTAAGGAAGATCAAGTCGACCAAGCGGCAAAAAAGGTCGGGAAACCGAAATCGAAAAAGAAATCGTTTTTCGGCAACTTCTGTAAGTCCAATAAGAAGACGAAAACCGACTGATCGCACTTTGAGCGTGACGGGCCGGTTAGCCTGTGCCGACGTGGTGTAAATAGCAGCATATAATAGCTGGGTGTGCGCGTATACGGGAATGACTTGAGTGAAGATTAGTAACAATTATTTATTTTTACGTTTTAATAGCTGTATTCAATATAAATATTATATTATATTGCATATAATAATATACGTTTACCGTTTACCCTTTTCAAATGTTTAAGTTCTTCTATTGTAATTGCGAGTTTCCTTTTCTCTGTCATATTATAGGCTTATTCCTAGAAATAGGTGTCAAAATTCTATATAGGTACTTAAAAAACCCTGTACAATTTAAGAATTCGTTTTTAAAATAGTAATACACTCGAAACAAATTTATAACTTGAAAACGTCGTGTCGGGAATTCGTAAAAATAAAAATACGCAAACGCATAGAAATCTAATGCCCAGTTGCACGAAAAATGTTAAATATTTAATGTTTCAATAAAATCTAATGGACCAATTATTACGGGCTACTAAATCATGTTTAAGGAACAATTTAGCTCACTGTTGATTTTTGTTGGATGTTTAGTGACTATCCATGCAACTCGGCATAAGCCTTTTAATTACATTAAAAAGAAATGAATATTATAATTTATAAGTACATACCTATATTTAGATAATATAGGTATTCTATGGCATATTTACTGGGGAGGGGTCAAGGCCCATCGGGCTCCATCCCCCATAAGCTAAATATAATATGAAACATTTTTTGGAGTCCTAATAAGGACATAAATCCTAATTAGGATATGTTACCATCAAGTATCTATACATTTAAAGGCGGGGCTACAAGATATAATAATTTCTCCTCCTCCCCAAGACAAAAACCTAAATACGCCACTGTAGGTGTTATATACTATATTCATACAGATTAAAAATGTACTATTATATTTTTTCTCATTTATACTAAATAATATCTGAGACTGATATGAGTATCACTAAAGGTAGGTACTAAAGTTCAAATTCATTTACTAATTAGAGTATGTAGGCGGTAGCCTAAGTTAAAATTGTATTTTCTTGTTGAAATTTCAACAAAGGTAGCTAGTTGGTTAATTAACTTATTGCCTAATTAACTTTATACCTTAACTTGTTAAACTTTAGTCTTTAACTTAAGTCTTAAAGTACCCACTTAACAACTTAGCTTTTTCCAGTTAAAACTTAAATTGAAAAATAATATGTGAAAATATTAGAATCAAATTTATTCACGTCATATTGTCTATAACTTACTGTAGTTAAGAGTTAAAACTAGTAAATTAATAATTTGTTTAACCATGCTTTAATATTTATTTTAAATAAAAAGAAACAAATAAATATTGATTGGAAAGTCAAATCAATTTTTATAATCTTACCAATTGCAACAGTAGCATTCGTTATTAGCTTAATTTATTGGAAGACGAGACACTTCCTTTGAGTCTGGAGAAATTATTGTTGTATAGCCTTGCACATTTGAAAAACAAAATTAAATTTAGAAAAAATCCATTAAGACTTTCCTATATAAGTTCCATACTCGCGAATGAATATCCAAATCTGTCCTCATGCAAACTATTTTGGATTTGTTTAAAAATGTGACAAATATCCACTATTCGTCTACCAGTGAAAATTGTTTTCCTAAATGTATAAATAAATTGTAATATTTTAAAACAGAATTGTTTAGCTTTTTGTCAAAACTTTTGTAACTTGTTTAGTATCTTTTTCAAATTCAATAGTTAATACTTGGGACTCAATATCTTGGTTTGAGAATTCTATAGTTCCTGTTTCTTGAGTTAGTTTATCTCTAAATGTATAACTATTGTGTAACTCAGCACCAGAGACGGATTTACACAATTGCCGCCCCATTAAACTTATCAACGAAAAAACGTATTTTTAAATACTTAAGTACATAAGTTACATAAGTACTAAAAAAATAAATCATAAAGACTGATACTAAACAATAACTAATGGCAGTTATGTTAATAAACTGTTCTAATAAAATGTGTTTATAAAATATAGTGTTTACTTACCAGTAACTTAAGTAATCTATATATATAAGAATCTAACTTGATTTTGGAGACGAAGGAAACTGGTTTTGAACCCTCATAAAAAAAATAATAATAATTAACTAATTACCAATTATTTTCATATATTCACCGATAACGATGTCTGTTTCTTTTTTTTGTTTATTTTATAATCGTTGACCTATAATAATGTACAAAGGTAATAAAAAAATAATAATAAATAATGTTTTTAATACGCATGCGCGCTCCCTTATTTATTCGATCGACATCTCTAACTCCAATCGTCCTGTCGTTTATTGTATAGCATTACTAACAGATCTAATTTTTTTGAATTTTGTTTGAAACCAATATATTTTTTATTACACAGCGTAAGAGGTTAAGACCAAATGCTGAACCCACATTATTTGGTATGTGGTATATATACATTATTAAATAATATATCTATTTATTATACTTCGCCTATATGTTTCACTACTATTTATTATTATAAATGCATATACTTTAGGTGATATACCGTTCAAGTGGGTAAAATTCCGGTCTGCCTATTTATAGCAACCTAATCATCCATATTATGACGACGATGATGTTTGTATCGGTGTAATGGATGTAATTTGTCAATATTGCAATGCCATGAAATTCATAGGTAGTTTATTAGTGTATACATTTTTAGAATTTTGAAAACGTTTTATATTATTTTCTTAATTAAAGGAGAATCTGCTGGTATGTGTTGTTCAAATGGAGCTGTTCGTATTCCTAATATCGATGAACCACCAGAACCAATGAAAACTCTTTTGGAAAGTTCAACAAGTATTTCAGAAGACTTTTTAGAAAATATTAATAAATATAACAATGCATTTCATATGACCTCATTTGGAGCGGCAGAAACTATTGTCGAAAATTACATGCCTACAATTAAAATAAGAGGTCAAATGTATCATTTAGCCGGGTCGTTGATGCCTTTACCAAATACAAATCATAAATATTTACAAGTTTATTTTATCGATGACTAAGAGGAACAAATTGATGCGCGAATGGGCATTTGCAGTGGATTGAATAAAGGTAATTGTATTGCATAATATATTTGTTGTTAAAACGTTTTAATTTATATATTTATACATTTAGATATTATAAGACATTTGCAATTATTGTTACATAATATCAATCCTTTAATTACGAAGTTCAAAACTGCATGGGATCATATGCCCACTGATCAATACCGATTAGTCATAAATGCAAATATGGTTCCTCAAGGTCAACATAGAGGTAGATTTAATGTACCATCTCAAGTAGAAATGGCTGTAGTAATGATTGGAGAATAATATGGAAATCGCGATATAATTTTATCTAGAAAAGACGAAAAGTTACAACGAATAAGTGAAACTCATAGGTAAATTCCTTTGTACACTGTACATTTTTTCTTAATTTTTATTTATGTGTTTTTAAGGTCTTATGATTCTCTAGAATCATCCACTGATATTTCTACACGGTGAAGATGGTTATGCTATTGATATTTTGTCATTTAATGTTAATTTAAATGAATACAATAGTCATAAAACTGTTTCTTCAAAACAGTTTTATGCTTATAGACTGATGGTGAGGAATCATATCTACAATCATTTACATAATTATTGAAAACGTATTAATAAATATTGGGTAAGTAAACAATATTTGTTCAACTTAATCAAAAACATGTATAAACATTATAATAATACAAATAGAATGTAATTTTTTTTTTAAGGTTGATATGTATGCCAAAATAGAATCAGAACGGCTTTTATTCATACGGAATAATCAATCAAAATTAAGAGCGGAAGATTATATTCATTTACGTGATGCTATAAAAAATGATGGTCACGTGAATGACATTGGACAACTTTTTATTTTACCTTCTTCATTTACAGGAGGTCCTTAGTAATCTTATAACATAAAATTGCTACGAAAAATGTACTATAATATTCATTTTAACAATCTAAAATATTGTACATACTATTAATTATTAGATACATGCACGAAAAAACTATGCATGACTTACGTTCGTAATTTTTGGATTCCAAATTTGTTCATTACATTTACATGTAATCGAAATTGGATGGAAATAGAGAACTCCAACATGGTCAAAATACACAAGATAGACACGACATTATCGCTAGAGTTTTTCATCAAAAAATTAAAGTTCTAATTAACTTAATTGTGAAACATCGGATATTTGGTGAAACTCAGTGTTATATTTATACTGTTGAGTGGCAAAAACGTGCTAATAAATGAATAGTATTATATTTTATTTATTTTTCTACGTATAATTATTCATTAGGTATTTATGGTCTTCCTCATGTTCATTTACTGGTTTGGTTAGTTGATAAAATTAGACCAAATGATGTCGATGATATAATAAGTGCTGAATTACCAAACCCCGAAATAGATCCTGAACTATTTGAAATAGTTAAAAAACACATGGTACATGGCCCATGTGGTTATATGAATCCAAATTCTCCATGTATGGGAGAAAACCAAAAATGTTCAAAGAGGTAATAATACATTTTAATATTCAATATACATATTTAAATCTATTTCATATTAATATAACTATTATACATTTATATAGATATTTTGAATTATAATTTTTATTTTTTAATATTAAGTTTATTTATGAAATTTCATCATTTGTACTTATATTTTGTATTTGTGTAAGTGTAGGTATTTAGTTATTTTTTAGTGCAAAAGCGCATACGTAGTTTAAACTTTAAACTTCCTCATATACCTATACTATGCAATTTTTTTAATTATTGTCTTTTTATTTTTTTTTAAATAATAACGATGGTAAAGTTAAATTTTATTGATAGGACTTTCTTAGTAAGTCATGAGTAAAAACTTAATTTTTAAGTTATAAGGTAGATATAATATTCAAGTGCCATATGCAGTTACCTACTTAAGGTGGTTTTGCGTAACAAATCGTAATTAGTTTAAGATTAACATTATTTTG